TTTAATAAAGATATAAACTCTCAAGAAAAGCCCCCCAAAATTAGGAGTTTAAATGAAAAATTCAGAAAGTTGAATTAAAAGTACAGAGGAAGGCTCACAAATGGATTGGAACATGTAGAAGAAAGAATATCATGTCTTACAAACAAAGCAGAAAAATTAAATCACTAAGTCAAATAAAATAGTAAATCCAAGAAAAACAGAATGTGGAGGAACTGTGGGACATTAACTAAAAAGAACAAAATTATGAATAACAGGTATAGAAGAAGGAAAAGATACCCAAATCAAAGGCACAGAAAATATATTAAATAAACCATAGATGAAAATATCACCAATATAGGGAAATAGATGCCTATCAAGGAGCAAGAGGAGTACAGAACACTAAGTAATGAGGTGAGAAAAGAAACTCCTTATATCATATAATATTCAAAAGACTAAATGCTCAGAGCAAAGCGAGGATACTGAAAACTGCAAGAGAACTGACCAAGTCATGTATTAAGGCAAACCCATAAGAACAACAATTGAGACTTCAGTGGAGACTTTGAAACCAGAAGTGTGTGGACTGATGCTCTCTACAAGTTACAAAAGAGCACAGATGCCAGATTAAATTACTATACCAAACAAATATACTAGTCATAATCAAATGATAAAGAGTTTTTCATAAAATAGATTTAAAAATTCATGACTACTAAGGCAGCTGTACAGAGGATGCTGGAGGGAATACTTAGGTCTGAAGAGACAGTGAAACACATCCAAAAGAATATGGAATAAATAAGCAATTCCAGAAAAAAAATAACAGAAATTAAAAGTCATTATTACCATTCTTAAAAACTTTTGTCATCAAAGGATTAAATTCCAACATGAAAAGACACAGACTAACAGACTGAATTATAAAACATAGTCCACCTTTAAACACACCTCATGTTTATGAGTGTTATGCCTGCATGTTAAGTGCACCTGTGTCAAGCAATGCCCATGGAGGGCAGAAGAGGATGCCCTCCTTTTTGTCTTTGTTTTTGTTTTATATTTACATTTAAATATACATGTATCTTTTCATTTAATTTTATAGAAAAAGTCAATTATTTTAATTCAATATTTTATAATGCCAATACCATTTTCTCATCACTTTTCAATTTTTTGTTTCGTAAACATAGATGGCTGCAAATATTTCCAAATCTATTTAACCATGTTTAACCTTGGATGCTGGGAAGACGGTTCAGTGTGTACAGTGCATCCTTCTCAAGCTTAAGACCTTTGTTTCTTTCCAGAGCACCCATGTATTAAAGCTAAAAAACAGATACATAAGCAGGAATAATTCCAGTGTAATACGTGGTACCCAGAATCTAGAGGATCCTGTGAGCTCAGTAGTCAGACAGTCTTGTAGAAACAGTGAGTCAACCTCCAGGTTCCATGACACCCTGTTTACAAATAAAATGTAAGACAATAAAGGAAGGAAACAGATAAGATGCCAGCCTCTGGACTCTGCATGCACACACAGGAATGTGCACCTTCAGACTTGTGAACAGACATATACACACATGAATACACTACACAGCACATACATGCATACACACACACAAAGACACACATGAATATATATTTCACATGTACACACACACATACACACAGACACACACACACACAAATGCAAAGATATAACCTTAAAAGTCTATCAACAAATATTACCACTTCAGATTCTAGAAAAGTCATGGTTATGCATAAAACATCATGCTGTGCCTCTTGAGTTACATTACAATACAAGGTTTTAACACAATTTCTTAAATATTCTAATTGCCTACTTTTATTTATCAATGTGGTTACTTCACAGTTTCATGTATACATGCATAAAATGTATTCTAATTACACTTTCCCCCTACCCTTTCCAATCTCCCTTCCAAACCTGCTCCCCTCATGCTTACCAGGCCCATTCCCATTCTGAGGTTCAGCTTTTTTGTTTTGTTTTGTTCATGGATTCTTTTGAGACAGGGTCCCAGTATGTAGCACTGGCTGGCCTAAAACTAACTAGGTAGACCTGGCTGGCCTCAGACTCACAGACATCTGTCTGCTTCTCCATCCTGAGGGGATTAAAGATGAATATCACCATCCCCAACTAGTCTCATGACTTTTGATTTTGTTTTGTGCCCCATTTTCTTTACCAAGGCCATCTATGTGAACATTGTGTTGCAACGCTCCATGGAAGCATGGTGGGGTCATCAGAGGTAATGCAGCTGAAGACGAGGACTTCCCTTCTCTGAATCTATCAATAGCAAAATGGTTCTGAACAAGGATGAGCACATAATTCAGGCATGGATGGAGGAAAGATTAAGGACAGTACATCTCAGTTGCCATTGACCTATTCTTATTTTAAAAATTTACTTTCATTAACTCTTTGAGGATTACATATAATGTATTTTAATCATCTTTACCCTCATTAATCTCTTAACTCCTTCCAAATACAACTCCCCTCCCCTCCCCACAAATTTATGTCCTCCTTTTTTTAAACATAGCATATCAAATCTAAATTTTACTGCCATTTGTGAGGTAGTCATTGATTGGAGTGCTTGACTTATTATTTAGTGAACATACTGAATTAATGAGCTGTTAAAAGGTATATTCATTACTGAGTTATCCATAATCTGTCTAATGTTTTATTAATCCTTATTTAGATATTTCAGTAAATAATTACTATATTTTGAATTAACACATGATGGCAAGGGAATTCTCTAGCACATAATGAAATATTACTTAGGTCATCCCCTAGTACATGAAAATTTCCTGTAGTAGAATGTGCTGTGAAGTCCAGTACTATTGAGGTTGATTGTGGACACGGAGATAAAGAAGACATAGAGAAGAAGACGAGGGAACAGAAAAGAGCAAAAAAATTAGGAAAGTTAAAAAGGAAAGAAGAGAAAAGCCTAAAAAGTCTCCCAAGAATACAACAAATGTTAAAATCAAAATTTCACAAATGTAAAGACTAGTGGGGGACAGATTATGAAACATAAGAATATATACTAAGGGAAAATCAAAGTACTGGAAATGTAGAAGAGGGGAAGGAGTACACATGGAAGGGCAATGAAAGAAAAACAAAAAATATATTACCTCAAATTGAAAGAATCTATACAAACAAAATTATCTGAATAACAACACCACAAACATTATAAACTACCATGGTCTGGGGGTGGATAGACAATAGAATATATATATAGTTCCCTGACTGACAGTGGATACATTTCCTATGCACAGTGTGTGCTGCAGGTTTTCTTCTTCATGTCCTTGGCCTGGGCTGAGGTGGCCATTCTCACAGTGATGTCCTATGACCGCTATGTGGCCATCTGCCTCCCACTGCACTATGAAATCATCATGGATCCCAGAAAATGTGGATGGGCTGTGGCAGCTGTGTGGTTAAGTGGTGGCATCTCGGGCATCTTGTACACAACAACTACATTTTCTATCAGATTCTGTAAAGTTAAAATAATCCACCAGTTCTTCTGTGATATCCCACAATTGCTCAAGCTTTCCTGCTCCAGTGATTACCTTGGAATTGTTGGAGTGGTTGCCTTCATGTCTACAATGGCATTTGTCTGCTTCATCGCCATCGCCCTCTCCTATGTCCACATATTCTCCACAGTCCTCAGGATGCCCTCTGCTGAAGGTCGGTCTAAGGTCTTCTCCACCTGCCTGCCGCACCTCTGTGTTGTATCACTTTTTCTCTCCACTGGAGCCTTTGTCTATCTAAAGCCAACCTCAGACTCTCCAACTATCTTTGACCTCATGCTCTCTTTGTTTTACACAGTACTTACCCCAACCCTCAACCTTGTTATCTACAGTTTCAGGAATGAGGCCATGAAGGGGGCTGTAAGGATGTTAATGCCAGGTGGAAAATTATTTGGAAAAGGATCATTTAAATTTTCTTCTCTGTGACTGGAAACATTAAACACAAGAAACAGTATTAGCCATTTGAATGCCTTTAATATGTAATGTTAAGAACACTAATAAAATATCTTCTAGATAAAGTATATTATAAATCATTTGTATAATGAACTTGAGGTTATTTTGCCCTGTTATTGAATTCATTTTTCTTTACATTCAAGTAAACAGAAGGCAAATTATTATAATCAATTGATACAAATCCAGTACTTCCTAACTCTCCCAGTTCATACATTGGCACATACGTAGATTATCAACAATTCTCATATGGGTTTTAAAAACATGTTTATGGGCAATATTAAAATATTAAGTACAGAGTGATTGTATTATCTGATAATTCATCATGTGTCATAATTTTTATATTTATCATTTAATTCCAAAAGTTCATTTGAAGTTCTATTTTTTCATATATACATAATATCCATCAGCAGAAATATGTAAGACATTTTGCACATCCATATAATTTTACAATTACAGGCTCTTATGTGCAAGAATTCACTGTAATTAATATAAAATGCCATTAAACTTCAACTATTTAACTTGTGCCATTTGCTTTCAATTTTTATTTGCTCATAATTTGAATTAAAAATGGAAATTCTTAGACACAGGCAGACAGCTCACTCACATACTCCAAGTATCCAGGAATCAAAGACAGGGGTATCTCTTTGACTTTATGGCCAGTCTAGCCTACATAGTGAGTTCCATATAGCCAGGATTACATAGAAGACTTCTATTAGAAAAAAAATCAATGGCAGTGTTTTCTTCCTAAGTCCAAGGAACGCAGTTGTTAAACCAAAGCATGCAAAATTCTGAACTCTCTTGCCAATTTGACCATATAAATTTCCAAAGTACTGAATATGTGACCATGAGCAGTATAGGGTCTGGTTTCTCTATGATATTTCACGGGATTTATCATTTCATACAATAAATATTCATTGAATCGCTTGTCTTATAGGTATCTGAAAAGCATAGATATCTTAGGGTGTACAGAGCACTGGAATCTGTGACAATTTATTCACTGGTGTAATTTTACTGTTTTTCATCTTTTCAAGTGTGTGCAATTTCAAAGTACTGACACACTCATGACATTTGTGCATTTTCCATATTTTCATTTAATTTTATGGTTTATGTTTGACTTTTATTTTATAAAAGAATTTATTTGTATTATAATCTCATGTTTTATATGGAAAAACTATTTTTTCTTTCACTTTTTATTTCTTTTCAGATAATTGTTTATATTCATAAATTATAACATTAAAATTGTGTGGTTTTGTACGTTTAGCAATGATTTAACTCTTCTAGGTAGTCATAACATAACCTTAAATGACAATAATGAGATTCTAACACCTCAGTTACTATGATTTCATCTGTAAGAATATGCCAATAAAATATCTTATAACATTTACTATCATGTTAGTCTATTGTCTTATCATTTTTTATGTTTTGTCCTATTATTGAAATGAGTAGTCTGAATCAGAAAAAGAAACATTCAAATGTATTTTCTAAGTTCAGTATTATTATATACTTAATTTTTTAATAAAAGATATATTGCTCATTACTATGGAAAATAAGTGGAAGGGCATTATTCAGTATAAAAAGAATTTTTAAGGTTGCAGTGTGTGTTTGGGTAACAGTGCATGTGTGTAGGTTCAGGTGGTTGTGCCACTGTAACCCGTATGAAAGAAAGAGGCATCTTTCAGGTGTTGGTCTTTCCCTTGCCACTGATTTTTTTATTATTTCGAGACTCTATTTTGCTACTGCCTAAGCCAGGCTATCTGGCTCACAAGATTCTGATATTCTGTCTCCCCTTTCCACTTCTCATGGGCCGCTGTGTTTAAGGACATGTGAACCACTGTCATGATGAGCAGCAACTGCAGCACACAAGAGTACAGGTGTGTCAGTTCAAGTGTTGAGGAGGTAAAGGTATGACTCATTTGGGCAATTTTTAACAATTTTTTACTATTACTTATTTTTTTTAGAAGAAGCATATCATTACAGCTTTAATATGCTCAACAACAGTTTCAGAGCAAAGATAGAGCTCTTTCAAAAGTGGCTATAAAATTTTTAGGTTTGCTGTTGAATTAATACAGTTATACAATAGTGAACAAAGAATAAGCCCTGTAAGACATAAAATTGAATGCGTTTTTAACCTTTAAAAGAGATTTCCATTTCATTTTAAAATATATTGTTTCTTGCAGAAATACACATTTTTTTTTCTACTAACATTGAGATGTTGGCTCATACATCTCTAATCTGTATGTATCTGATTATTACTAGTCATAATCGGTTGCACTCGGGTACTTGGCACCTGTGTATGTCTGTATGTCTATAAAGTCATCAGGTAGATTTCAATGATAATGTTTATCACCTGTACTAATTAACATAACGTAAATTTTTATGCTTCCTCCTCAAATATAATACATTTTAAAAAATTTGTTGATTTTTTCCTGTGTGTATATTACTCAGAACATCCCAAACCATCTTATTCAACTATACATCCACTTCCCAGATGGCACCTCCCATAGCCTCCCTCCCCCAACTAGAGCCCTTATACTCTGTTATCCCTGCTACTGTCCACTGTGTTGTCAGCGCCTCAGCCATTCCCCACTTCTTGTCCATCTTGTGAATCTAGTCAGCCTATCTAGAGGTCTTTGTTTTAGGAAGATCAGCTGTTCCTCATCTAGCAGCAATAATTTGTCAATATTCCTTTAGATAAGATTGGGGTCTGCTGTTCAGGGAGTCCCTTGGGCCACCCTGGCCAACAACTCAAAAGAAGGTATCTCCTGTCTGGCATAGTTGCTTCTTAATGTAGCCTTTAGCTATACATGTGGAGTCTTAAAAATTACATTGGCTCCTTTAATCTTTGGTTATATTTATTTATTTATTCACATTTAACAATATTTTTAAAGGCTGACAAGTCACAAAGAGGTGCAATAGGGATGATTTTTTCTGTTTCAATGTAGAACAAAGTGCATCTTCTATCAACCATGGGATGAGCAATTGTGGAATGATTGGGAAATATTTCGTTTATCTGACTTTATTGGATTAATGGATTGGTCTAATATACTTTCTCACCCCTCCTCACTTGATACAGGCTTTTGTGTCTTGTTTAAGAATATTGGGATTTTCCTTCTTTTCTAACATAAAGTTGAAATTGGTGGAATTGGTCCTGCATTTTTATGCTTGATTAATATGACTTCCTATTTCCCTATATGTATCTGTGGTAGTTTGAATGTGAATGTCTTCCACAGTTTGCAGTATGTGAAAACTTGGTTTTCACTTTGTGGCACTGCTTTGGGAGGGTTCTGGAGCGTTTAGGTGTTGCAACCATCCTGGAGGAAGCACATTGCTGGGGGCAGGCTTTGAGAGTTCATAGCCATGCCCACCTCTAGGCTGCCTCTCCCTGTTCCTGTGCTGCTGGAAGATGTGCTCCTTCAGCTTTCTACTCAGGCCCCTCCTGCTGCCACACCTCTCCTGCTGTTATGGACTCTCTCTACAGAACCATAAGCCAGATAAGTGCTTCGTTCTTTAAGTGGCCTCTTGGTGATGGTATTTTATCACAGCAACAGAGAAGTGAATGACCAATGTATATTATTTAAAGAGTTAAATATATTTAGGAAAAGAATTCCCAGCTGGAATCTGGGGGACAGTATTAGGAGAGACAGCCTCAGAGTGTGGCATGCTGAGGGTCCTGAAGAGAGAAACACACCCTGCAGATTCCAGAACATGAGGTGAGTGATACAGTCAAAGCACAGGCAGCTTGATGGGTCATTGGAAAGAGAGAGCCTTCATCCATATGGGAAAGTCCTGCCTGACAGATATCCAAGGAGGTGGGTAACTTCCATACCAGATGACCTAGCCCACAGGCTGGAAGACATGGGAAATTTTTACATTTATTTATTATTTATTTATTTATTATTTATTTATTTATTTATATCATTCATTCATTGTCATTTATTTATATTTTCATTTTTTTTAAGACAGCATCTCCACGTAGCCCCAACTGGCCTGGCATGTGTTATGTAGTCCAGACGGGACTTGATCTCACAGATCTTACCTGCCTCTGCCTCTTGAATGCTGGGAATAAAGACATGTCACTGGGCCTGACTTTAACACAGCATTTTAAAAGATAAACTATAATTCTAGACTGTCTTGGAGCTTCAAGTAGGAGGAAGACTGCTGGACCACAGCAAGCTTCATCAGTCCTCTATCCTAGAAACAGCTTCAGGAGAGATGGCCTGATTTGGGGGAGAAAGAGAAAACTGGAGATTTTTACCTAATATAACAGGCTTTCCATTTATTTGAAAAATGACTTTATAGAAAAGGAGTTAAAGGAAGATAGGAACTAGGGATTGCTAGATTGGCCTAAGGTCAAACTATGCTGGGCTTAGCTGAGATATTTTAAATATTAATTTTAATCTTAATAGAATCCAGTGTGGTCTTTTAATATATTTTCCAATGAACTAATTAATTTTTTTATTTGCATGAGCATTTCGTCTGCATATATGTACCTGTGCCACATTTATTAAGAGCATGCAGATAACAGAAGTGGGTGTTGAAATCCCTGGAACTAAAGATACACACACTTCTTATCTGCCATGTGGGTGTGGGAACCAAGACTGAGTCCTCACAAGAGCAGCCAGTGCTGCTAGATGAAATTTTAAATATTATTAGTGTATGACCATATAGCTCAGATGAAACTGTATAGTAAATAATATCAATTATAAATTGTATGAGTATATATTCAGGTGATTAATACTGAAAATATTGTTGATACACACACACACACACACACATATATATATATATACAGGAGAAGATTTTGACATTTTCTGTATTTGCTAGTGACTGACTGGGCCATTTAGTGTGGTTTTTAGGCCACCCATGTTTTAGGATTTCTTAGTGGATACCTTTATCTCATGAATCTTCAAAATAGATAACTAGTCTCTGAAATTAGTTATGCACATCTTGATTTCAAGGATAATAGTAATACT